CACCCAGGGTGCAGACCAGGAAGCAGAGTCATAGTTTAACACACATCTCTGCAGCTTCTCTACTGTTACCCACTCTTTACTCCATCCAAAATCTGACCAAATGCCGAATATACTCCGACCAAAATCTAATAAGTTAGCAAAGATTCCCAAAGGAGTAAATCATGATAATCGAATTAAAATTAAATTAACTGCAATTGGGGAAAAAGCTAAAACAATTAAATGTAGTCTATTTAACATAAGATCTTTTTCCTCAAAAAGTCTGCTACGTAGTTAATGACTTGATTTGTGATATTCACATTGACTTGTGTTGCCTTACAGAAACTTGGCTGCAGCAAGAGGATTATGTGCACATAAATGAGGCAACTCGTTCTAGTTATTTAAACTTTCACATACGCAGAAGTTCTGGGCGAGGAGGTGGAGTAGCAACAATCTTTCTGTCTGACTTACTGATTACTCCGAAGGCAGTTAATAATTACAACTCTTTTGAACATTTAACTCTTATTTTCCCTCATCCAAACTGCAAAGAAAGAAAACCTCTTCTTTTTGTAACTTTGGATCGTCCACCAGGTCCTTACTCTGAATTGATTTGGTATTACGGTAAATGCTGACAGGGTCATCATAGTGGGGGATTTTAACATCCATGCTGACATTGAAGATGATAGCTTAAGAGCAGCCTTTAATGCTATGTTAGCCGATACTGGCTTTGTTTAAAATGTGAATAGTCCCACACATTCTCATCTTCATACTTTGGATCTTGTGCTGACATATGGCATAGAATGTGAAGAAATAACACTATTTCCTCACAACCCTGACCTTTCTGACCATTTTTTTTTTATAACCTTCAGGATTACTTTATCAGTTCTCCTACCCCAAAAGAAGGTTTCACTTTAGCAGATCATTATCACATAGTACAGTTATAAATTAAAAATTTTTTTTTTTCACTTTCTCTCTCCTCTGTGTCACTGAGCAGTGCTGCAGAGTGCAAAAGCTTAGTTTATTCCCCTTCACAGGTTGATGATTTTGTTGATGGGGTTGCTGGTTCTCTGCATACTGCCTTAGACAACGCAGCTCCTTTGAAAATGTAAAACTTTAAAAATAGAAACCTGGCTCCCTGTTTTAATGAAGAACTGCTCACTTTGAAGCAAAATGATAAGAAACGGTAGAGAAAATCGTGCTCCACAGGTCTACGGGAATCCTTCATAGTCTGGAAAAATAGTTTACTGCTATATAAGAGAACCATTTGTAAAACAGGAGCAGCATATTTCTCCTCATTAAAAGAGGAGAATAAGAATAATCTTAGATATCTTTTTAATTCAGTTGCCAAACTCACCCAGAGCCATAGCTCTGTTGAACCGTCCATTCCACCTGCTATTAGCAGCA